TTTAATTAATTACAATTACTCTAATATTTTATTTAATTAATCATACTGCATATCTCTCTATCGTTCTCTAATTGTGTGACGATTAATACAGCCCTTAAATCAATTATTACATATTAATTCACTTATCTGCTTCGTGGATAAAATCTCGTCTCGTTTTTACTTACTTTACACATGCACGCGTGCAACTATAATATATATATATATTTTTTTTTTCCTGTACGCACGCGTACGTATAAATATTCCCTGTAATTTATTTTCTTAATCATCTAAAAAAATTACTCTACTCCTATGTGTTCGTTAATCAACTAATTAATATTGGTAATCTTTGCCCCTTTATTTATTTCTTTTTTTTTTTTCTTCTTCTTTATTTCTTCCGCGTTGCGCTTCTCTTATATTTTTTTCTTTTTATCACAATTACCTGGTTGATGAACGATCGTTTCTCGAGCTTCGAGGATTATTGTTCTCCTTCGTCTTCGGCGCGTCTCTCCTGGCGTTTTTTCAAACGTGAGGAAACGCGAAGCGCAACGAAACGATTTAGCAAACGTCGTGCTTCTCTCGCCACGTTTCTTCTTGCACTTAGAACGAGAAGCGCGTTATTTAGTAAATTTAGAACCAGAGAGTGGAATTCCTCGGCACTTTGTTTCCTTTCTTTTTTTTTTTTTTTTTTTTTTTTCAGTGAAAGACGACAGAAGAACCATAATTCGTATCATAGTTCGCGAAAACGAACGGAAGGGGAGAATTCACGAAACGACGAGAGAAGCAATTGCCAATGAATTTGTAAATGACAAACGAAACGAAATTGTAAAATCTTCTCGCTTCGTCAATTCCACCCCCTCCCCTCAGAACCTGTTCACAGCTCGATCAATTTGTTCGTACAAACTATCGCTAACAGTATCGAATAGTGATCGCGTCAGAATATTTTTATTGCTGTTGTTTCGTACATTGACTTGGGACACTGTGAGAAATGGCGCTGAATGACGGCGAATCCTGCAAAACTCGATGACTTAGAGGAGATCACAAGCTACGATATATCGAACGAGCTACGACGAGTTTGCATTGACGACGTTCCAAATTAAATTTTAACGATCGTTACTTAATAAACGATGGAACTCGTTTATCGACCAAACGATGACGCATCGAAGGTTAGCTAACGCGCGAAACGAAGGGTATTAAAATTATTATCGATGCGATACGGTATTAAGAACAAACAAGGATCGAGTCGTATAAGTATAAATAAACAAATGTGATCGACATGCGTCATTCAATTTTCAATTTCGGGATATTGAACGCAGTCGTTTTGAAAGCAAAAAAGAATTAAAATATGTAACGAATTAAATAATTCATCGTTTTAAATACAGTTGTTTGGGGAGAAAAGAACATTAAAATACCGACAAATATGTATCTCTCGAACGTAGAAACAAATCGTGTTAACACAATGGGGAAAATTGAATTAAAAATTTCATCGTTGTTGGAAAATATGGAAAGTTATCACGACACGAATTTGAACGATTAGTTACTATGAAATAGTTACATCGGAAAAAGTGATTCAAGATCTTAAAGATTTATTAGTTAAAAATATTCAAAATTTCGTCTTCTTACGAAATCTCTTGTTTTTCTTTCATTTATATCGATCTCTCGTCGTCAAGATATAAAATTGTACTGTCAAAATTACGGATACCCTCGAAATTTATTCTTACAATCTCTGATGGTTTTGAATTTCCACGACAAACAGAATCATAGTTAATGAATTAAATCGGTCGTGAAATCTTGAAAATGGGCAAAAATTTCAGCTATTTCAGACGCAAATTTCAACAATTAGTTGCTATCAAGAATATTGAAAAAAGTGAATCAAAATCTTGAAGATTTATATTAGTAAAATTTCGTTTTCTTGATGAAATTTTCTGTTGCTTTTTTTTCACCCATATTGATTTTTCGATTGTTGGAGATTTATTTTATAAAGTGGATGAATTAAATCAATCGTAAAATCTTAGAGTATCATTGGAAAATTTCAAATTTTCACATCACAAATTTGTACAGTTAATATAGTTGCTACATGGAATATTGAAAAAAGTGACCCAAAACCATAAAGGTTTATATCAGTTAAATATATTTAACTAATAAAATTTCGTGTTCTTACGAAATCTCTTGTATTTTCATTTATATCGATCTTTCATTGTTGAGATATAAAAATGGTAAATTTTAAAAATTAGAATCTCTCGAAATTTTAAAATTAAAAATTACTCTCAATATCCTCGAATTTGTTTTTTTATGATTTCGACTACTCTAGTGGTTTCTGAATTTCCACAATAAACAGCGCAATAAAATTATAGTTGATGAATTAAATCAAATTAGACCGCGAATTTTTATGCAAATTTATATTTTCGCGAATATAATTAATTAAATAAATTTCGTTAAAAAATTGTTTTATCAAATATTGTAGAAAGCATTATGCCTCAACATTTTATACATTTTTTTTAATATCACGTGCAATTTTATGCCATAATTACATAAAAGTAAGCTAAAAATATAAATTGTACTGTAACTCGAATATACGTATAATATTTGTGTAGGAAAGTAATGTGTTATTTTAACTGTTTCCATTGTACTACTATTTGAACTAAACTGCGGATTTTTAAATTTTTTGGAAACGTAATTAAAAAACCGGAACTTAAACAGAAATTTGTTTCTTTTACTAAACTAATAGTTATTTTAATACTTTATTTCGGATATTTTTAAATATATTTAACTGTTATGAAACTACCGAGTTATTTTAGTTAGCTTAAACATTAAAATAATATTTATTTAGTTAATATTTATATTAATATATAAATAAATATTTATATTTATATTAGTATATAAATAAATATTTATATTTATATTAATATATAAATAAATACTAATATTTATTTATTTAATAATAAAAAAAGTAATTTAGATATTATAAAATAGCTAGTGGATATAGTTATTTTAATACTTTATTTTAGATATTTCTGTTAGATTTGTTAGATATTTTATATATTGTATGCATTGTCACACCTCCAAATTTTTCATAAATGCATAAAAATCAGCAATGTAATGATAATCCATTTTCACACGAACTTTTATAGCAATCTTTTTTATTTAACAGAGTATCAAACTGATCTTTTTAGTTACATTCTAAGTGAACATTCCAAGTGAGAAAAGCGATTATAATTGTTTGCAGTTTTTTACTATAATATATAGAAATCTAGAAAGTTATAACTGCTATAGATATTAGATTGTTTGCTTGTTACATAACATACATGATGAAATAACTAATTATATAATAATTTAGCAATTAATATAATTTGTAATTATTTATTTATAAACAATTAGTAATAATATTAATAGTATAAAATCTTTCAAAATCTTGTAATTAAACGTACCGAAAATGGTATTTATTGTTTTATAATAGCATTGATCTCAGACCTGAAGACAATTAAATGTGGAACAATTAGAATCATGTTAGTACAATAGATATTAAATTATAGCTAATTTACAACTGAAATAAAATAAAAAATAAAAAATACTATTAGAATAATAAATATTTCAGACTTGAAAATAATGAAATATAGCTTGATCGATGTCTTTTTGTTCAATTGTTTTATTATTTAAAGATTCCAATTTGTATGTCAAAAGCAAACCGAGAATTGAAAATATGAAACATGAAAATTTTATTAAACTACAAGTGCTGTTCGTTTTTGTACAATTTTATACAAAAGTTGCAATGAAAGGAAAAAGGTATATATTTAGGTCAGAAGGTATAAATAAAAATGAGTCGTGATAGATCAGAAAAAGTTAATGATAATACTCGATTAAATATATTCAACGCACGTAGTTGTTATGTACGAGATACTGCACGTAGAAGATTAGGTTTGCATTACAGAACAGTTTCTTGTCATCTACGAGACCCAAAAAAGTTAGGTCGTTAAATAAATGTTCTTCAGCATGGCTTTCTTTGCATGAAATCAGAAGACTGTGACTCGTGATAAAACTGATTATTCACTAGTAGAAATAACAAATTTAGTAACAGAATTTCAGTGGAAAATGCTGTCGAAGCTTTGATCCGCGTACAAAAATACAGAATTTTCAAATAAAAATAAAAATTTATTACTAATAATTAATTTCGTATTAAATAAAAATATCTTCTGCGTACGAAAATATAGAATTTTAAAATAAAAATATAAATCTATTAAAATAATTAGTTTTGTATAAAATAAAAATAATTGGACTCATTGAAAATAAAATAATTGATATGTATTTAAATATAATAAGATAATTATACCTTATTAAATTCGATCATTCTTTTATTAATAAATGCTGATTTTGCTAAAACCATAGACGATGAAAAATTTATTCAGAATTCACTCATTTCATTTATAGTAACTGATCAGATGAACGGACAAAACAAGCTTTACATATTTTGTAGTATCATGGAAAACTCGAAATATCACGAAATATATATTTTAACATAAACAAAAATTTTTCTTTCCTTGTGAAATTGTTCATACATCATAATTATTTTGCAACAAATCATAGATAGATTTTCGATAGTATTTTATATTATACTTTTATATATTATTTCATTTAAATCTCATTTTTATATTCTTTTCTATATTAAACTTCATATCAGTACTCAAAAACTTAAAAATGTTATCTGCAGTTAATTTCAATAATATTATCTTAATTTTCATAAATAATTACAATTCGAAGACGTAAATTTTTTTTTATAAATACCACAAACCTTTAAGATCTTAGAAACTTTCCGCTATATACAATAATTCTCTTTCATTAAAATCGTTTTATAATTCGTGGTCAGTAAGAGACTATTCTATTGAATTAAGTGTAATTGATAATATGACTTAGTGTAATACAATGCAATACATTATATAATGTGACAAAATTATTCACTTAACCTACAATCTGTTTTCACTTGTATACTATCACATACTTTTTTTTAGAATACTAAACACTATTGTATTATTCTCAGAATATATATATTTTATTTTTTTTCCTGTATAATAGGGCATCTGCCCGTCACTATTTAAATAACTAAATAAATAAAAAAAATAATTAAACGATCGTTTCTGCAAAAATAATTGCCAATTATTTATCGTTCGCTGATTTCATTCCATGTATTATATGTCAATAGACTTCCCAAGACCAATAAATTTTTTTTCACGTTGAATACTTGTAATTTGTCAATTTTCGTGACGGTGACATTTAGTTAAAAAAAGTAACCATTTAACGAATGAATAAAAATTATGCAAATTAACCAAAATCCAATATCACAAAAGTGTTTCTTTATCACGATGAAATTCGATTTGAATGCTTCGTAGATAATTACTAGACTGCGGATTTTTACGCATTTGTGAGAAGTTTGAAAATGCAAAAATGCATAGAGGTGACAATTAACAGAGAGAACAATTTCCTACCTAGTTGCGTTTTTCTGAATTTCATTCGTAAAAATATGAATTCGCAATAAAAATCCGCAGTCTAACAATTATACGTACTTCATAATGGGAACGAACAACAGTATTTATTGTGATAGAATATGTTGACTCCCATTATTCATTGGCATTCTTTGTAAAACATACAGGATGTTAATTTTAAATCAATTATTAGAGTGTTATAAAAAATGTTAATACACGAAAAAAGTATGCACGATGACCTTTGCAGGTTTTTTTTTTACTAACCTCAAATGCACGCCTTTCAAACCATTTAACCTCTGGCGCTGGCAACTGGTTCGCAGACCATAACGAGTGACCAAACCGTATACAATAATTCGTCTTCTTTTTGAATTCATCGGTATATCACTGGATAGAAATTTGTTGTTTCCAATGGTTTAAGGTAGAGAAGAAAATATTTTAAACTCAAACACAATTCAAAGTATATCATTCACACTGATCGACTTACGTACAAATGTACACATCTTGCTTGGTTGCTAAGGAATAAAAACGAACGACTAACGTGTCCAATAAACGGAGCTACAAATACACCACGTGACAATTACTTATTGACTAGTTACTCTAAGAGATGTCGCGATTAGACCAATTACATGTTTAATAAGTAAAAATTACTAAGAAGTAATAAATTTATTATTTGTTGTTGTCTGGGTTATATTTAAATATATTAAAACTGAGAAAATATTGCAATTTTCGGATAAAAAACGTGCGCGTGGCACATCAATCCAACGCAAGAGGTTAAATCTCATTATTCCTTGACATCAATAACAGTCGAAATAAATTAAATGCTCGACTTAAAAATTAACACCCTGTATATATGTATGTATGCACGTATTTAATAATTATATATGTTTAATCCTTTCAGTCTCAATGAGTTATAGAGATATCAAGTTTAAAATTAGACAAAATACTAGATTCTTAATACCAATTTTATAGCTCTTAATACCAATTGTTATCAGCAATCTCTCCTTGTGCCCTTTCTACAGTATAAATATTTATATTATATTGTCTTCATTTTTTTTTTCATGTATACATCGAGTATATGTAAGAATACCTAGAAACCTAAGAATGATAGTCTAATAAAATAAAAATGTAGAATGTAATTTTGAATAAATTTATTACACATTAATATATATTCGTATAATATAATATTAAACGTAAAATTTATAATTATATAATTATATAAATATTATATAATAATTATATAATATTACATTGTAAAGTATTTTATATAACTAAAATAAAACTGACGAATACTTCAAGATTAAATAATTAATAAAAAAAAAAAAAAAATGGGACTGAAAGGATTAAACTTGTTCCTCTGTTTTTCTTTCATTTAAATATCTTTAACTTTTATCCTTAGCTTATCGTCTGGAAACTATTTGTAATACTGTTGTTATTCGTTTGAAAATAATTTGAAAAAAAAACACTTTCAAACTCGGAAGAACTTCGCTTGAATCTTTCCGACTCGTTAAATCGCTGACTATTCCAGCGAATTGCTGGAATATGACAAAATTATTGTCCATGATGTCTCCAAATTCAAATTCCACTTTTTCCTCAACAAATCGAAATAAAACGAAATACCATCTTTTGCATAAGTTCGACTCGAATTTGGTATTTTATTCCACGTATTTTTAACTCTTTATGTCCGACATCGAGCTAACCACGACATTTTCATTAAATTATTGTGTCGTCACTCAAAACTTAAAGATACATTATAAATATAAAGGCACAAAGGAAAATAAATTTTCTAATAATTTTGTGTTCAGTATGAAACTCTTTTAGTTGAACGCCTATTTTTGGAACATTGTAATATTCAAACGTTTATCGGAGTGGAATGTCTACTAGTAGCAAATGAGTTTCTCATTGCTAACAGACAATTTGTCTGTCTGCAATATAATACTCGAATATTCCAAGAATAGAGATTCACATAAGGGAGACTCTACCGTATTGCCTTTAAAGTGGCATAAAAAATAAAAATAAATAAATGAGAGTATTACACAAAGCAAGAACATTTAACCCCTTAACAGTTCATGAATTTTTGATTAATTGATATTTTTAATATTTTTAAGTTACTGTCTGCAAAACGAACACAAATTATTAATAGTAAAGAAACTTCAATTAAATTTAATTAAACCTACACTATATATTATTCAATACGAATTGATCAGAAGTAAACGATAAAAGTTGTCGATATTTTTAACTGTAATAATTTTCTTCGTGAAAAAGAAACTCGACAACAAAACAAGTTGGTCTCATTTCATTAGGACGACCAAAGTGCTCGAAATGAACGATTTGTAATTTTTGTTAAATATTTTATACGTGTAAAACAGTGTATTTCTGGAGATTTAAATGATTTTTCATAAAAAAAATTATAAATAAAAGCTGTACCTCATTGCATTATAAAGTTTTTCTATTTTTTCTACTTTAATGTCTTTGATGGAAATTTTATACTTTAATCGTTGATATTTCTAATGTGAAGCCTCTATTTTGACACTTCCGAGTTCGTTTTTTACATCATGCAGCAAATGACAAAGTAAAAATATTTCTATTTTTGATAATTGCAAAAATCCATATATCTTAAAAAAATTTTTTTTTGTAAATTGTGTAAATTTTGTAAATTTTTTATAAAAATTTGATTATTAAAAAGAAACCTGTATGAAAGTATTTTGAAACATCAAACAGTTACACGTCTTTTTGACCGAAATTCATAATTTTATTAGACTGTTGAGGGGTTTAAACGCAAATGTTCAATTTGCACGTTTAAAATAATATACATATGTAAATATTCATCAGAGTTGGGCAGTAATCAATAACTTTATAATCATTTTTGTAGTTAATTACTAGATAGTAATTATAGTGATTGTCAACATTAATCAATCAATCGTTGTTCAAATCAGTAATCATAATTAACTTCTGCAATTTGTAACCATAAATCGGTAATTTTTAAATCATTGACTGTTTAATTTTTTATTTTGTTACGTTCTTTATATTGCTGTAACACACGTTCAAACATGTTAGAGAATTTATTATTTATTATTCTCTGATATACTCTTAGCACAACGAAGAATTTCAAATTTTGATCATTCATATTATTTATCAATAATGAAGTCCATCTTCATCAAGTTGTACAGAAGATTATAACGACTCAAGAACTGTGTAAATGCGACTTTCAGTCGATGGAAATTTTGTACACATTCTGATAAAATTGTGCACATTGCGAAACAGTGCAAATAATAAATATGTAATTTCTACAAAGCATACAATTTAATATTGTACCGATAAATACAATCATTCGACACGCAAACATGTGATCATTTAATGATTATTTAAATATTTATTTATCTTAATAATTATCATTAATGAAAATTATTTTATGATTAATGATTCTGGTTACTTCCTTTGACCAGCGATTGTTGATTACTTGACAATCAATAATCATGATCAATATTCCGATTCCGCGTTAACCTCTTGTGCTCGAATGACGTGCCACGCACGTCGAAAATTTTTTGTCCCAAAATTGTAATATTTTCTCAGTTTCTAAGTATATTTAAGTAAAATAAACAAAATAGGTAAAACGAGTAATAAATTTATTACTTCTCAATAATTTCTATCCAGTGACATCATACCGAGTTCAAAAAGAAAGCGACGATTTATTGTATACGGTTCAGTCACTCGTTATGGTCCGCAATCAGCGCAAGTGGTTAAAACAGGATCTTTACGAAACAAGATTTTTACGAAATTACATCATCAGTTTAGATTATCGGCAATGTTTCACTGTCATTGATACAATTATACTTTTCACTGTACATTTAATTCTGTGAAAATTATTCCTTCTATAGAGTTATTATTTCTATTCGTAGCATTTCTGAAATTTAAACGAGATTTCCATACGATCCTTTCTTTCAAGAAGTTACAACAATTCGAATTACCGAATTATCATTGCTATAAGCATTTACAGGACATGCTTTCATATGCATTTAGAACAGTACTTTTAAAACCATCAGAATGTAAAAGCTTAATCTCGCCGCTGGCAACTGGCTCGCGGACCATAACGAGTGACCGAACCGTATACAGTAATTCGTCGCTTTCTTTTCCTTTCGAACTCGTCGGTACGATATCACCGGATAGAAATTACTAAGAAGTAACAAACTTATCATTTGTTTCGCCCGGGTTACATTTGAATATACTTAAAACCGAGAAAATGTTGCAAAAGGTTAATCGGATGAAACTCTGATTGCCAACTCTGATATAATTCATATAAAAACCGACGCACCGTCGGGGATAGAAAACGGCCGAAGGAACGAGAAACGGGGGGGAGAGGATAAATAAATAAACAGACAGGCGTTTAAACAAAATAATCCGTGAATTTATTAAAAATAACACAGGAAAGAATAAAAGGAAATGACAAACAACAAATCAGGACAACGAGAAGCCGCACTAACCGGTTAGGACGATCATCTAATTAATCAATTAGTAAATCAACTAATCGTAACTTAACTAACAGCGTATCACAACCGTGCGTTACTTCTCTCTCCGACACCTATTCCACCTTGTTATCTAACTCTCTCTCTCTCTCTCGCTCTCTCTCTCTCTCTTTCTCTCTCTCTCTTTCTCTCTCGAAAGAGAGAAGCTCGCCGGTATTTCGCCAATCACTTCGAAGTTCATTTATTTGTTCTCTCGCGTGGATCGACTCTGCGCAACGGCGACGTTATCTCCTTATCGGCCAAACATTCGCCCAGTGTCTTCACGCCGAACGAAACTCGCCTCGACGACGAAGAAACGAAAAAGGAAACGAGAGATTCGACGTACACAGAAGCTCGTTTCGGACGTCGTTTTTTGCGAAAATATTCATCGCGCAACTCGTTGAAATTCGCCGCGCTCTTTCGTTGTACAAATTGTCGTAAACTTACACGGGATTACATATTTCGCGGTGTACATGTACTGGCAGTTGAATTCCATCGTCGACGCCTCGCTGAATTTCGATGGATGGATCTTTCGTACATTCTCGTTCATGGTAGCCACGGCTATGAATTAAAAAAATCGAACGATCGAATTTTAACGATTCTTTCGTACATTCTCTCGTTCATGGTAGCCACGGCTACGAATTAAAAAATCGAACGATCGAATTTTAACGATTCTTTCTCGACGAACGAAACTTCTCGCTTTAACGATACGACGCAAATATTTCTTCGACTCCTTTCAACATTCTTTTCCTTTTTTTTTTTTATACGAAACTTGATTCAACTAATTTCGTAATTTTAATTGGTAAGTTTCTAGTTTATCGGCTTTTCCCAATTTTTTTTTTTTTTTTCTCTTTTTTGAGAGAAAACTTTGTTTCGTTTTTAAAGTGAAGAATCAATCGGGGGGAATCGAGAGAGTCGTACAATTTTTGTACTGTTTTAAAAAGAAGATGCATTAAAACATTTCATGTCACGTATTTCCGAATTCGTTGTATTTTGAATATCACGAATTCTTCAATAATCTAATAATATAATAATTTACTTTTTAATAATCTAATAATAATAATAGCTGAGCTTATCGTTAGCTTGTGAATGTTTGTTTATGTCTTATAACTTTTTCGACCTTCCCCATCGTTTGACTTTTCGTTTCAATACCGAATCAAATTAAACAACAAAAACAGTAGGCGAAATGGCCAAAAATTGGGAGAAATCGCCAAACTAGAAATTTACCATTGATCAAGTTCCTATTACGGCGCGATTTCGTCGGATAACGTTTCGCATTTCGTTGCTATCAGAAACGAGATACGGAGAGGAGTCGTGTTTCTCAACCAACAAATTCAAATAACCAGAGGTACTATCGAAATCAACATAATCAGACAGTTAAAAATCAAGGGATTACACATTTTCGATAAAACCGAATCGAGGAGCTCGACCATGAGAAAATTGTACATTCTATTCTTCACGATTCTCCTGGAAAATACTAGCAAGTACTCTATTCTCTAGAATATTCTAGAAAATAATTAATCTGCGGTTCAAACAGCGTTACTCTCCAAATAAAAATTTTCCCAAAATCAAATTTTCACCAAAAATCTGTGAAAGATT